GCAATTATGGAGATGGGAATTTAGGAGTTTTCTCTGTTTCTGTTTGTAAGGTTTTACTGTCATCTAGACTAGCACAGCTTAAAAATAAAATCTCTCATGAAAATACTGCCTTATACCAATAAGACACAGGAAATCTAGATAAACCAAAAAAAGAGCAAACAAAAGGGGGAAAAATCTACACACTTTTAAAAAACAAAATTTCACTAGCTAATATTAACTGCAGCAATTTAAAAAAATTTGCCATAAGCAAAATTTTTCAAATGATTAGCTAAAAACAGCGGAGAAAAAGTAATACTAGTATTTATATTAATATGTATTACTTGTGTTTTTTGTGAAGTCCTATGCCCTATCAGCTAAAAATAATTTTTAGAACTAAAGATTCGCCAATGTGACTTGATGAAATACAATTAATAATGACTAATGAAGAATCTAATAATTTAGATGTTATTTGTTAAGGATCATGTAAAATTTAATGAATTTGAAATAATTTTAAAGAGTCATTAAAATGGTCAAGACCACATAGCTAAGAGAAGTATGTCAAATCATACCTTAAAAAAGTGACTAAGGTTAGTGCATTTTCAAATAGTGTAGGTCTGCTCCATAAAATTGCTTTGGCCAGTAAAAAAGTAAACAAGAAACAATTTACAAAAAAATTAGTATTCACAAAATCCTAAAACTGTGATGTAAAAACGTAAAAAGCAGCTATGTTTATGGTTACTGATTTATTTGAAATAAAATTTAAAAAACTGTATATAAAATTTGATGGGAAAACAGAATATGGAGATTCTTTGGGTCTTTTGTCCTGTCTTTCTCTCCCGCTCTCAAAAATCCAAATACATTAAAAAGTTTTTGGATTAGAAGAAATAAAAATGTATATTTACGTGAAAAACAACTATGAAACCAGGCTTAACTACGTATTTTCAATTACTTTATAAAATATTCCTCATCAAAAACAGAGTAGCTTCAGACTATTAAATATGAGATTCATAAAAAAATAGGAAATAATTTTTCTTGGATGGTGGACAGAGGTACAGACATATGTCATCCCCAAATATCTTAGAGAGGAAGCATGAAAGGTGTAAAGAGAAGAGTTTTTGAATTCAAATCTGAGTGCACTGTTTATTTAGCTTTGCAACCTGGGCAAGCTAGTTCATCTCAATGATTCTCAGTCTTTTCTTTATAAGAAGAGTGTTGGGGAGATTACCTAGGATTTTACACACACACACACACACACACACACACACACACACACACACACACACGCATGCACGCACGCTCCCCCTCTACCCTTGCAATATCATCAACTTATATAGCTACTTGGATCAGTGGTATGTTAATTCAAAAGCATTATATGTCTTCTTTGAGGGAATGAACTTAACATTTTTGCATGGAAAATGTAAAGTTCTAAAAATACTCTCATATTAATTAGCAAATCATTTTAAAATATATATATATATGACTTAAGGATAGTCTTCGCAAACTACTACAAAAAATGATTAATAGAAATATTTCTTATTTAACTAGTATGAATTAAGCTCTCACCATATGCCAGGCACTGCTGTAAGTGCTGGGACTTCATAGCCATAATAAGTCAGATGAAATTCCAGATCTCATAGAATTTATACTCTAGTTAAAAAACACAAACTAGCATTTTAGAAGGAAAAAACGAGGGTGATCTCACAGCTCTGCCTAATATAAGAACAATGTATAGCAATATGAAGTTTTACTTTTTCTGGTCCTCTAGGTGATATTTCTTTTAGGGTCACAGACTCCTTTGAGGAACTGATGAAAATCATAGACATACTCATTAAAGAGTAGTATTACAATATGTACACACATAAATGTATTTGCAAAAACTTTTGGGGGAATCACAAACTCCTCGATTAAAAATTCCTGCTAGATTCTTTTCTATAGATTTTTATTTCAAAAGTTTGAAAAATTTTGCTTACATTAAAAAGAGAGCATATTCCAAAAAATTGAACTAAGAAATTTAGTACACCACTTAAGATTACCCTAGTGCACTTTCTGAATATGTTTTAATGATTTAGTTAATTTCGAACATATTAACTCAGTTTTTTAACCAAAACATTTATTAACCAAAAGATTTTCTAAAGAAAAATGAATGAATCCCTTTTCTAATGGTATAACTTACAGGCATTTACAGCAGAACAATTCCATCTCTGATATAGACATGTTAGGAATCTAAATAAATCTCTGATTAACTCTGTCTAGCATTCTTTTTTTCAAGTTATCTAAAATAATTGTTATTAAAAAAATTCATTTTATAAAACCCGCCAACTGTCATCTCCTCTGAATTTGTCCCAAACTTTAGTCTCTCCCATTCTGTAAGTTAACTACCAGCTCCTGCCACTGGACTTCCCGGCAACATCTTCCACGTAGCACACATCTAAGTCAGTCAGGACGCAGTTACGGGGCATCTCTGTGCCTGATTCGCTGCTATAGCAGGTCAAGGTAAGAGCTAAGAATTTAGTTAAACATGTATAATTTCTTCATTTTTTCCTGCTTCTTCTGTATTTTTTTAGTACATTTCTGATACTTGTGATTATGGTTCAATATTTTTCTAAGGTCATGATTATTCTGAAAGGATCAAGTCATGTTTCCCAAAATAAGATTCTAGGCTGCAAAGGTTAAGTTTTTATAGTAAATAGGAAGTTTCTCTAACCCATATATGTATCTACTAATAATGAATTTACACTTATCATCTTGATCTCTGCAATTAATTATTTCACAACTACTTAACTTCCAGTATCTCTTTAATACTGCGCATTTCTAACAGATTAAAATACCACAGATATTTCTTTGAGTCTATCATTCTTATGCTCCAAACATATGGTTGCTCTTCAATCTAAAATGTAAAGTTCTAAAGGCCTCTTCAAGTCTCTTCAAAAATACTTCTGACATCCTCAGTTCTTGTTTTTCACCACTAGCAGTACTGTGCACTAGTAAAAATGATGTCCTTTCTTTCAAAGATAGCTTTTACTGTGTTCTTGGCTCTCCCATCTACCTGAACAATCACCGTCATTTCATTTCTGTCACTCAAATCATTCTTCAAATCCTATCTTTTCTCTAAAAATCTGACTTACCCAGCAATCACTGTACAAGTCACATGGCAATTAACCACAATCCAGATTTTGTCATTTCTTTTTATTCTTCACTAAATGATGTGAAACATTTTTATTTAACTTGTGTGTTTATATCTATATAATAAGCGGCATTGAGAGTAGGGATGGGACCATGTTTTGTAGTTTCCTTCCTACATCAATTCACTACATGGTAGGTTGTCACTATTTGATGTGCTGATATTAATGGAAAGCTTATATATGAAGGTAATTAAGTATACATCTTCTTAATTTATATAGTCATATAATAATCATACTTAAGGCTAGTTTTATATCCTCAGCATTTCACCATAACTTCATGTTCTGTTGCCTAGTCATTCACTGTCAGGAAAACTACTCTGTATAAGTATTTTCTATTTTTAAAAAAAGTTTAAAAGTTCTCCTTGGTATACGTTTAGCAGAAATTTAGGGCTATAAAACACTTTAAAAATCTTGTTTGGCATAAAAGCAGCCAACTTTTTGAAGGAGCAAGAAATTCAGCAAGATATAATAAAATAATTTTTTAAGATTAATTACATACTAGGGTTGCATTTCAAATACATAAGGAAACAGGAATACTTATATGGCTAATAAATGAATCAATAACTAACTTCTGAGGGCTTATTTCCTCCAACCACGGTGGCAGATGCTATATGGAACCTCTAATCTAGCTGAAGAGGTAAGACTCTTCACTCTGCTTCCAATTACCACCATCTTTTTAGTTATGTCACTACCTTATCCTCAATTGTTTGATTTAGAATTCTCTAAATGTATCACATGACAGATCTTTATTTTAAAATTAATTTTCAGAGCTTTGGATACAATTCTTAATATTTTGAGGTACTGCCACAAAAGAATGATTCAGAATCACTACTCTAGACCAAGATACAAATTCTGTTATTAGCAATATATAGTATCATTTTTGTTCAATTCACTAAAATGTATCAGTTGTAAAATTCTCTTTTTGCAGGACATGTTTACTGCTAATAAAAAAGAAATTATGATATTGCTGTGAAGTAACGAATCTGGGAAACGATGCAACTGAGATGATACATAATTTCTACCAGTGGCTGCCAAGAGGGGCTGGAGGCTTAGAGGCTGAGTCTATTCTTCTCAACAAGTTCATTACTAACTAAGTCTGGCTCCCTTAAATCTTTGAAGCATACATGTTAAAAATTAAAAGTTATTCATTTTAGATGTCCAAAAACTTAAAAATCCTCTGAGAAAATATTTGAATGACTGACTTTGAAATTTAGGGCAATTAAAACAAAACAAAACACTGTTTTGTCTCCTGGTAAATAAAACAAAAAAAAAAACTGCAGAGGAGCAGCTGACAGCTTATCAGTATTTCTAAGGAAGGTAAAGGGATAAAGAGATTTGTTCTGATGAAGCACAGCAGCGTACAACAAAAATGGTTATCTCAGTCAACACATAAACCCACAGCACAATGAAATTAGAAAGAAATTATCCTCAGGTATTTAATAACAGAGCACGCAGGGCACTGAAAGGTGTGGTTATTAAAATAACAAGTCATTCACTATCACTAACTTCCAGTGATGCTAGCAAAAGGAGAAACTGAGATACTTAAAAGCACATTCTTTGCCTCAACATTTAAGGGAGAAAGAGAAGGCAGACATACAGGGGAAAATAAGTATAGCCCAAACAAAAAGGCATTTGATACCCATTAAGTGAAAACAAACATACTACAAGAAAGAATTTTACTTCTACTTCCATTGTAATACATTTCCTTCAGCTTTAACTGACTCCTTAAAATGAAAAGCAGTAATAATTTATTATAGATTTCATTATGTGAGTATATTCATATCTGGTATTTATATTATAAAATTATTTAAAATGCTTAAGAAATAAAACAAAACTTACCCCATCACTTTCTCTATGTGGATTCAGTCTACTATAAACAGCTTCAATAACACTGCGCCTAAAAAAAAGTATGCTTTAGTTTTATTAAGCTTCTGAGTATTTAAAATAATACTTCATCTTGACTACACTCAAAAATTAACTGCCACATTAAATACTTGCCAAAAACATAGTTTCTACATTTCACTCAGAATTTGATCCTGCACAACCCATTTGTTCTTATTTAGCAAGTAAAGACGGACTTTCATCCTCAAAGAGTATGATAAATAATTCCTTTAAAAAGAATCTCTTTTAGATGAAACAGATCTTCTCTAGTATAAGATCCATCAACCTATTTCATCTTTAGGTAACTAATTTACCTCTTACCCAAAACTATTTAATTATTTATTATAAACAAACGGAAAATTAGTTCTTTTTGTTCTACTTACTTGCCAGCAAGGCCTCCCCCAGGAGGCAAATTTGGGATATTTTCTGCAGACAAGATGCGCATAACATGGGCAAGATCAGGCATTCCTTCCTCACCCGACTTCTCCATAATTTCTGTAGGTTTTTAAAAAAAGTTCCTAAATTAATGCGACAACTCAGTATTCACAAAGAAGTGAAACAGGAGGTACTATTTGCTAGTACCTGTGTTCAAATATAAAAAGCAAACATCACCTACTATCACACAGAACAAAAAAAGGTAATATAAAGTGATTTGTACATATATGCTCTCATTCCAGCATTATTCATTAAAAAAAACAACAACAAAAAACCCTGGAACAAATGAAATGTTCAACAATAAAAGGACAGTTAAGAAAAATTTGGTATAGCCACTGAGTGAAATGATTTATATAATCACCAAAAACGATCCCTATGAACATAGTACAGCTACATGGAGAAACACTTCTGATCTGATTTTATGTAAAAATAATATAAAAATTATTAATACTATGATTACAGGAAAATAAAAGTAATGGATGGATAAAAATTATAAGAGGGAAAATTAAACATTGTTTTATAGGTTTTTTGACATCTAAATAGTTATGTTCTACAACAATTTATTTAAAGTAAAAAGGGAAAATGAATCCCTGAACTTGCTAATAATGCTTAGAACAAAACATTTACATGTTTCTCTTGTATTTATAATTTATGGAAAACAGATTTTTGAAGCATGGCTATTTGGACAGTATCAAGACATAAACTCCTCAAAAATCAGACAATAGCAACTTACTTTTAAGATAACAAGAACGCATTGTCCAAAGCAGCCCTCGAGATGCAAAATCCAAACTGTTTACCAAGCCTCACTGTGACCTTAAACTTGAACTACTCCCACTGAACTCTGTCCCTGGCTCCTATTATCTCCATAGGCTCTATTCAAAGAAGCCTCCTTCTTCTACTGGGTTGTTGGAGAAGTCATGACGCATTTTTGCGATGAAAAACATAGAAAGAAAACGTCATGACTTTTCCGACAACCCAACAGATCTTCACCTATACTTTCCGCTTGCTTTGGAACACTCTTCACGCCAATCCAACCAACCATCCCTTTCAACAGTTACCTGGTTTTCATCCCTCAGGTTTCAGCTTTCTATGTCACTTTCTCAGTTCTTCTCTGACCCACGCCTGGAGTTGGCGCACTGCAACATACTGCCATTGCACACCATGTTTACTATATCAGACTGCAAGCTTCATGAAGGCAGGGGTGTCATTTTTCTACCTTAAACTTGTATCTTTATAGAGCAGGGTTGCTCAACCTCGGCACTACTGACATTTCGGGCCTGACGATTTTTTATTGTGGAGGCTAATCTTGTGCACTGCAGAATGTTACTGACCTCTACTCACTGGATGCCAGTGGCATCCCCTCATTTATGACACCAAAAATGCTCCAGACATTGCCACACGTCCCATGGGGCATAAAAATCTCCCCCAGCTGGGAACCACAAAGTCTAGCACTTTGCCAACCAGTGTTCATAACCCTCCACTAATGTTACTGCAGTTCAACCCCCCACCGCCATCTGCCTCCCACACTGATGCATGATGCCTAATTGTCTCCAGGCTTCAACTCCTGTCCCATCTTTCTCTTCACACAACAACTGAGGGCCTCTGAAAAAAGTCGGATCAAGTCACTCTTGTGTTCAGAATCTTCCAATGACTTCCCATCACCACTGGAATAAACTCCCAAGTCCTCATTTTGGTCTACAGAGCCCTACACAACCTGCTGCTTAGCATCCTCCATAGCCTTCGCTTTTCTACCAGCTAATTCTAACCTAGTTTCTCTCTAAGCACGTTCCGCCCTCAGTCTTTGCTGATCCCTTTGCCTGGAATCCAATCCTTCTGCCCCAAATAACCACTCTCCCCCCCACACAGGTATCTACTCAAATATCTTTCCTCACAGAGACCCTCCTAACCAATATTCCTTGTTACTTGCTTGTTTTTTTTACTCTTCCACTTAAAAAAAAAAAAATTGGTCTCTACTAGAATATAACTCCATTAAGAAATCTGTCCCCGCCCCCACAACCTGCAAATGAATGTAGTTTTCCTATGGTAATTACATATTTGTAATTGCAAATTATCACATTACAAAATTCTCATCAATTACTATGGCTACTATATCCAAAATATGACTCATAACAGACCAAATTCTACAAGCCTATGATACCATAATCATTAACTTTATCACTCAAATGTATTTACTATTAAAAAAAAAAAATCAAGCCATGAAAGTGTTAGGAGAAAATACAGGTCAGTATGTAACCTTGAATTGAGGAAAGAACTTTTTAAGAATGACATCAATCCTAAAACAAACAAAATTGATATAACTTTATATAAAGTAATTTTGTATCTAAACACCAATATAAAATCAAAACGTAGTTATTAAGTTGGGAATCCTGTCATACTCTCTAACATGCGCTTTCAATTTATCAGGGTAACCTCTAAATGAATTTTTAAAAGAATGCATAACTAATAAGCAAATGCAGGGATGAACTGGAATAGAAAATGCTGATTAATCCAACAGAAGGCAAGAAAGAAGAAACAAAAGAACTAGATGGAAACAAATAAGATGGTGCCTACACAGAAACACATCAGCAATTATATTCAAGATAAAGCTTCTCCCCTCCCTCACTCGTGAATAATGGATTTTTAGCCCCCAAAAAATTTAAGATGAGGCCAAGCAAGGTAAGTCTTACGAAGGGTGGAGGGGACAATGGTGGCAGCAGGATCCAGCATGAGGTATCCAAACCTGAGCACAGTAAGCAAAGCTTTTGTACTGGTGGGGGTGCGACCTATTGGGTTGTCGGGCAAGTCATGTTGTATTTTTCTGTGTTTTTCATGCAAAAATGAGTCATGACTTTCCCGACCACCCAATAAAATGGGGTTCAACGCCACTGTAGAGTAAGGAAGGCAGCTACACAAGGGTTAGCTGTGACAGATGCATGTGACTGATAGTAGGAGCCAGGTTTTTCATTGTAGGAGGAGTTACAAATATAAGAGAGAAAACTAGAATGAACTCTGCTGTATACACGAGTTGGAGTTACTGGTGGGCTAGGTCAGACAGATACAGATAGGAAGGGAGGAAAAAGGAGGGAGGGGGCAGGGAGGGAGGGAGAGAGTGAGTGTTTTTGTGTGTATAGCTCTATCCTTTAAGAGGATATAGTAACACAAACACCCCAGCAGCACACCTAATGCACAAATCCCAATTCTTAAATAAAAAGAAAATGAAAAGAGAGATCATTGGAAAAGTGGCTCATTTCAAGGTTGGTGCAGGGAAATAGAAGAGGAGCCTGGAGTATCTCATTATGCCAGAAGGTAAGGAGCTAACCGCTCACAGAATTATAGAGACAGGTCAAGACACTGGAACAAGCTTGGAGGGGTTCCCACTGGCCAAGTCTAGGACAATGTAAGTATCAAAATGACAGTAACAGTAACAGATTATAACACAATGAATACAATAGGAATCTGAATCCATGCTCACATAAATTAAACAAATGGGAAGAGAAACTGTTTTCTTTCAAGTAAAATTATAACTAATACATATAAAAAGAATAACTGAATTAGAAAGTCACCATTTGCCTATTATCCTAGTAGCAACTGATTCAGGCAAGAATTCCCAATGGATACTAAAACTGGTAGGTGAAAATTTGAGAATAGGTTATTAACATAATCTCAAAGAATCTCCCTATTGAACACTTACTAACAAGTAGAATACATTTATTAACTTTTCTGTTTGTTCATTTTAATGAACTTTTCAGTGGAGGAGCCTGAAAGAGAACACTTCAAGCGAGTGATGAAAGTTAATACTGACCACATGGTGTGCTTCCTGACACCAAGCACCAAGGACCCAGCATCACTTCTCAAGGGTTTCTGCTAATGTATAACCTAAGTCTTATCAAGAGGAAACATCAGCCAACCCAAACTGAGGGGCGTTCTACAAAGCAGCTAACCTGTGCTGTTGAAGAATGTCAAGGTCAGTAAAAACAAGAAAAACACCATGCAGCTTTTTCACAGGGAGGGGGACTAAAGAGGCACAGAAGCTAGATGCAGCTCACGCTCTGGACTAAACCCTGCACCAATAAAAGGCATAACTGGGACAACTGGGGAAATCGTAATGGCATCTGTGAATGAGATGATAATATTATATCAATGTTATCTTCCTAATTTTGATGGATGTACTATAGTTTTGTAGAGACTGTCCTTTTTGTCTTAAAGGGGTACGAGGATATCATATCTGTAATTTACTCTTAATTGGTTCAGAAAAAAATCAGCAATATGGTGGGGGGAAGGGAGATGGGAGAAAGAGAGAGGTAGAGAAAGAGAAAGAATCAGAATGTATGTTACAGAAAGTATACAGAGATGAGTCTAATGAGATACACATATAATGCAAACAAATGGGAAATCTAGGTAGAACGGGCTACATGTATATGGGAGTTCTCTATAATATTTTGCAACTTTTCTGTAAGTTTAAAATTACTGTAAAATAAAAAGTTAAAAAGTATGTGAAATTAATAATCTTTCACAACATCAATGTTAACTCTATCAGTATGATGAAAAAAATGGTAATGAATTCCTATAATTAACTTGAGAAGGGAGAAATAGTGTCAGTGGAATTATAGAACTTGGTGTTCATCACCTGAGGCAAATTTCATTAGATTCTTCACTTCCTACTAAAAATATAATCAGGGAAAGAAAAAGAAAAAAAAGTAAGCTTTAACAGACTATTTTCAAATTATGTTTCTCTTTGGTGGTATAACAGACATACTGTTTTCTCCTTCCCAGTAAATTCCCATACATTGGTCCAAGATATGATAATAAATCTTAGGCATATAGATGTTTGTCCTTTAAGGCCTTGTTCTGAAATACTTGTTTTTCCTAAGGACACTTTAAAAGAACTATTTGATGAACAAGGAAGAATACTTTTCCTTTCCTCCTTAAAAAAAAAAAAAAAGCATCTTTCTTACCTTCAACCCGTGATTCCAAGTACTTATCCAACTCTGAGTCTTTCCTCACTGCTTCATCTGAGACCTTGGGGGCATTTGAAAAGCAAACTAGCACAATACTCATGTTATCTCGACTTCCCTGTATATTAAAAAAGAAAAAGAAATAATTATATTTCTATAGTCTAGTTTCTATTATTTACTTCAAAAGTTAGTCACATTAAGCAATTATAGTTTATTTAATCAACCATAATGTACACATTCAACACATTTAATTTCATTCCAAAGAGAACTATTTGAAGCACATCCTGAAGAAACAAGGTGTCTAGGTATGGGCAGACCTGTAATTATTTTATGACTTTTGATTTCACTGTACACTTCTTCTTACCCACCACCATTCCACAACCTGAGAATTGAAGATATAACATCATACATACTACATCTTCTAAACTATTTCTCACTCAAAATTGGATATTCCCGAAGTGACTTAAGCCACAAAAACATCCTCCCAAACAAATGTGCAATTTCCCCGCAGTTAATTAACCTTCATTTAGCAATGCCACTAAAATCACTATTGAATTTGATATAGCTGAAAACTGTTAATTAGGATAACCAAGACACTAAACTGAACTATAAGCAGAAAACAGTTAAATTAGAAACTGTTCTGTGAGGGTACAGCAAAAAACAATGGCATGTAACTGGATGGCTGAGACACACTGTAGTCAGATATAATAATTTCTGAAGAAAAGACACTGGAGTTTACAAATGATCTATATTAAAAAGGAAGCACAGAATATATACTCTGTATTACCATGTATTAGCACTAAATTTAAAACACTTTCTCATTTTTCCTATAGGTGCATTACTTTAACTGAGTTGCTTAAACAGAAGGAAACTGTTCTTGGAACAGTGATTTTTTTTTAAGCCTTTTTTTTTCCTATTCACCACTCCAAAAAAATTAACTCAATGGAGGTGGTAGGCTATTGTGTGTGATAATGGGGTTTGCCAGCCCAAGTGAAAAAAGCCAAGGCCATGCCCATTCTATTCTAGTCTTTTCAGTAATTCTAACCAGAGTCCAGGAAAGCATTGTTTGGTTCAGATTTGCTACCTTTTCAGCACCTACACGACACAGCCAAAAAAACAGGCAGGCCTTGAAGAACTTCTGCCACTACCTCCTAAAAACTAATGAAGCCAAGTTTGAAGGCAGTGGAGGTCAAGTCTTAAGGAGGCTTCAAACAGAATAAACTCGCTCCACAGACTCTCATGCTTTAGTAGGAAGAACTATCAGGGGTGTATTATCAGATTTTTGGTATGGGGGGGGGGATCAGATTTCCAAAATGGCACAAACTAACTTCATTCCTTAATGAAACCCACCAAAACTTTCATAATCACTAATATTAGAAACACTACATTGGCTGTATGAATTTATATACGCACTTATCTATGGTTCTAAGCAGCAAAAAAAAGGGAGCCAATGCATTCCACAAGAATCAGGATTTATCATATAAGCTGAGGTCAGGCAAAAACTTTATACCATAGACATTCAAGATCAAGCTTCACTGAACACTAATGATTTTTTAAAGCAATTTTATGAATAAACAGAATTAATGCCTTATATTTTCAGAAATCCAGTTTCTTCTAACCATTTTCTATTTCGGTAACAACATCATGAGCATTGTTTAGTCATTCCTAATCAGTATATATAATTTCCATTATATTTTTATAAGTTATAAAACATATAGCCTATCAGTTGGAAAATTAACTGATAGTTTCAGAAAGTTTAAATATCCAAAGATATTTAAAGAAATAAATTACATTTACACCTCAGCATGTGTGATTTCAGTGATGCTGTTTCTATTTCTACATAAATATGACTTTCTCCTAAATTCAAAATATGAGTGTTTCACTAATTTTTTTTACAGCAATTAAAAAAGTCTTCCCTTTTTAGTTTTACGCAAATCATCTTTGCATAATCAGTTCATTTTCCAACTGATAGGATATATGTATTCATCTAACATTTACAGCTTCATACTGTTAGATGGTAACCTTAAAAAGTTATTATCAAAATAATGCTAACTACCTTTTTATGGTTGGGAAAATTAAATGAGTTTTAAAAAGGTGTAGCTGGCCGAGTGGCTCAGTTGGTTAAGAGCTTGCTCAAGAGTTTGAGCTCTGAGCAACAGCGGTTCGAAACCTGGCCCAAGCTGAGCAGCCACTGAGCTGCCAACAGGTGAGGTGGCAGGATGGCTCTGCTAAAAAAAAAAAAAAAAAAGGTGTAAAGTGCTTAGAATAGTATTTGGCTCACAGAAAACACAGAATGCTATTCTAAGCACTTTACACCTTATGATGATGATGATCATAATCCCCCAAGTTTTGATGAATTAACATATAAAAGTGTTTGTAAACTATAGGGCATGACGAGTTACAAGTGGTAGAAAATATTAACACTTTATTTAAATTTGTCAGGGAAACATCTACTTAAAAATTGGATCTACTCTTATTTATCTTTCCTTTTAAAGCAGCTAACACCTACTGAGTAATTGCTAAGTGCTAAGCACTGGGCTAAGTGCTTTCCATGGATTTTTACATTTATATTCAATCTTTCAAACTAAAATCAAAGTGATCACCTTCTATTTGAATCACGTTTTATAATATTGCTAACCCTTGGTTTTGCAATACAAACAAGGGGAGTAACAAAATTATGTAATTAGAGAAACAAGAATGGATAAGAGGTTTATTTAATTCCATAAGTAACATGCAGTAGTTCATAACACTATGCTTCAATACAAAACAGCTAACTAAGCTTCTCAAAACTGATTTCAATTCGAATGCAGCTTCATTCAAAGGAACTATGATGGTCAGCTTCCACTAAAATTGAATGAATCGCGTGTTCCAACCTCTTGTCCCTATTACTATCATTTATCATTCCTGAGAATCTAGGACTCTGCCTAGAATTCTTTAACACTACCAAGAATATTTTATCACTTTAAAATGATAAAAGCTATCAAGTGAAATGTGGTACAAGAATCATTTAAACCCCACATTTGGAGGGGTGGGGTCAAACTCCTGAACACCAACAGCCTTTCAACAGAAGGGAGTGCAGTTTTTTCACAATACAAACTTCTTTCTTGACTTCAGATTACACACCTAATAGCTTTTTGGCTATTCCCTCAAAACTACATGTCATTCACTCAACAAAATGATGTGCAACCATGAAAAATGATTTAGATCAATACTTATAAAAATGGAGATCTCTCTACAATATATTATTGAATGGAAAAAGCAGATTGTAGAATAACAAGTATACTGATCTCATTTTTATAAATATATACACACTAACAGGCCGGCAAAAAAGACTGGAAAGATCTAGACCACAACAACGCAACTTAGGTGGGTAGCAAAATTTTTGAGTGTTTCTTTATATATTCTGTATTACCTGGATTTTTTTTTTTCACTAACAAGCATATACTATTTTTATAATCTGGAAAATGCTGTTTTCCTTTGCTAGTCAGTCAAAAAAAACATGCTTGTCAACAAGAAATGCTAGCTCTTAAATTTTCTTTTTGAAGTTTTCTCTTTCCATTCTATGGAAAAGTAGTAGATATTCACCAAAGCCTGGGCATTTCCATAGACTTGGAGATCCTTCTTGAGAAAGTTTTTGGCTATGACTGTACCCTCCACAGCAACTACATGGTGGGGAGGATAGAAGGGTTCTCAGCCAGACAGAATAAGTAACTCAACAACACCTTTATTTCATATAACTAGAAGCTAGTTTTACCTTTTAATCAGAGTCATAGAACACTTGCATATTTCAGGCACTGGCCAGATTATTCAAATTTTAATTGATTACTATACCGATGCTGTCAAAGATTTACTTGGAACTATTCACTATTTTAAAGCCAGCCAAGGGAATTGCTAATTATCTGTTTATCTAGATTTTTCCCCCCTATTACTGTATCATGATTCATTCAATATTACAAATTCAAATTAAACTTAAGTGTTTCACAGAAATTCTTCACAGGATTAAATTTTATACTAACTAGATTTTGGTCTTTTATCAGTGATAATACAAACATTTATATAAATGAAAAGAATTTTGTTATCTCCTACAAAAGATAGTATCCACCATGTCATATATTAGTTACATAAAATAACACGTAAATTCCTTACGATTTTCTTGCTAGGAAAAAGCTTCTTTTATTAGACAATAAGAAATATACAACTGGGAGGGGGTTGTCACTTCGAGGGGTAAAAATATAACTATTGCACTGTGTTGTACAGCTGAAACTAATTCTAAAAAATGTGTATTTCATAATAAAAAATAATTAAAAAAAAAAAGAAATATACAACTCATACTTTTACTTTAGTTTTTATCTTAGTTGCCAGGAGGCTCAGAACTAAAGGACAAAAGTTTACTTAGCCTAGGTTTCTGGTATATCTTCCAATATTTTATGTGGCTCTTGATCTTCTATATATTTAGTACAGAATTATACAATATACATATTTTATCAAACTGCTTCATAATCAGGCATAAGACAGCTACTGCCAATGTTGAGGTTTTGAATCAAGTCACAGTTCTGTATAGATGCCTCTCTGCCACAGCAACAAGCCATAAAGTACTTAAATGACAACAAATTTATCAAACTAAATTTTCAAATTAGAAGGTTGAGGCAAACGAGAATGGCAAAAAAAAAAGGGTTCCATTTCTGGTGAAGAAAGTAATTTAAAAATATACAGGTCTTCCCTAATAAAAACAGTAAGTTTTAAAAATTTAAGTTAGCTCAATTTTACTTACCGTGTCTTTTCAAAATTAATAGGGTATTTTAATTATAACAAAAAGACTTACATACCTTATGTAAACAAGTGTCCACTACCCAATTGCACACATTTTCCAGGTCATCAGATACCTCAAGCCTAGATTTCACAAATTCACAGAGCTCCTCATTACTCATTACATCCCAGATCCCATCACAAGCCAAGATGATAAATTCATCCTCTTCTGCTCTTAAAAGTTCATAAACCTCGGGCTCTGGAGAAACAAGTTGTTCTGTTGGACCTTTGCCATCAACACACTTGTAATCATAGTCCCCCAGAGCACGAGACACTGCTAATGAACCATTAACACGTTGAATCATTACGCTGCCTCCTGCATTTTGGATTCGCTCCTTCTCCCTTGGATTGCAAGGTTTGTGATCCTGGGTGGAAAAGCAGACTTGTCCATTCCTATACAGAACAGCACGTGAATCGCCACAGTTGATAAAGTAGATATGCTTAGGTGAAATCATAACTCCCACTGCAGTTGAACCGCTCCTGTCCATTCCATTTCTGAGGTCTGAAAAGTTACGCATGTATTCATCGATTTTCAAAAAGCCAGTTCTGATACCATTCTTGACATTTTCCACGGAAGGCTCAAGAGCAGATCCTGACTTTCCAGCTGCCCTGAAGTCTTCATTATTAGTGATGTGTTCTAATAAATGTGTTGAGCAGTAATTTGCTACTCGGGATCCAGCATGACCATCATAAACTGCAAAAAAGGACCAGTCTTCCAAGCCGTGAGGAATACCTACAACAGCTGTGTGTGCATCTTCCATCTCCACTCTCCATCCTTGCATGCTGCTCAGGCCATAACGTAAACCATTCCCAGCACCGTGAGCATTATGTTTCTCAGTTTTGGGTTTATCCAAAAATGCACCCATGATTAGTAATGAATCTGAAAAGAAAGAAAAAAAAAGTGGTGTTTAAATTTGAGAATTTATCTAGAATTTTTCATCTATTCTCTAGTAACTCCTATCCAACTATATTTTTCACTATTATCCAAATTTAGTGGAACAACAGCCAAAAAAGAAACCGAGGAAATTTCCCCAAATGCCTTTTTTCTAGAAAAGTGGTTCCTCAATCCTAGATTCTGATTTAATTGGTTAGAATCATCAGACCAATTAAATCAGAATCTCTGGGGGTGGGACCCAGATATCAGTATTTTTTTAACACCTCTCTGGTGATTCGTATATGCAGCAAGTTGAGAGCCACTGTTCTGGGAGAAAGGAAAACCAAGAAACAAAACCTGGTTAAGTTTGTTGTTGTTTTTTAAATTCAACTTATTAACTCTAGGGTGCATTATGTAAGACTGAATTCTGAATGGTGCTACATCTTGTGCAATAAAACGTATGCTGATATATTTTAGAAAGACTTCCAAAAGCAAGTATGTAATCAAGATTTGCCCCCAGTGATCCTGACGAAAACCCCAAAATTCAGTTAAAACATAAAATCTAAATTCTACAAACATTTGATGTTATCGAGGTTTTGCTGTATATCAAACTGAAAACTTTACTTGGATTGACTGAAATCCATTTCCTGGATTCTGTTAAAACCAAATACAACTTTTATGATGTGCTAAAGAACATAATATTGCTGAGTTTGGTAACCCATGAAATAGCACTAGGACAACTTTTACTTGGCTGACAAAGACTAAAAACCCATAGACAGAGCTACAAAGTACCACCATGTGTCACCCACCCTCCCTTCTCTCTACCTGGACTAGAGCAGTGGTTCTCCAAACCACTACACCATGCACTTGTATGTTTCCTACAGACAATCCTGGCCCTAACACTCACTAGTTGTGTGGCCCTGAGTAAGTTTCTTAGTCACTTGTACCTCAAACTCCTCCTCTGTCAAATGGGAATAATTATAATAGTACCTATACTTTACAGGGTTGCAGTAAAACATGAGCTAACGTATAGTGCTGAGAATATTTGAAACACAGTAAATACCATAAAATGTTTGCTGTTATTTGCTCACAGTGCAGATGCCACAGCCCCATTCCCACACCCAACGGTTTTTTTCCAGTAGATCTTGGATGGGACCCTCAAAAAGGCATGTTGGATCTGAAGAATCACAAGAGACACTAATCTAGATCAACTGACTTTCATTTGGATCTAGGTATCTCTGTGAGGTATCTTTTTCAGCTATGACTGTTACCTAACTTTTACAATAAGATTACAGATCCCTTTTCGTAAAAACCCAACAAAACACAATCTACATAGAATATTTATAAATTATAGAAATTTTATAACTTTTATGTTATATATAATACTGTACTAATAAATTACATATACAAATATTTAATAAAAGGAATTTTGAAAGGATAAAATTTTTTAAAATAAATTCTTTATTCATGTATAATAAATATAAAACCACATTTTATACTGAGAGCAATGTAATAGAATATGTTTTTTTTTTTTTTAGCTGAGCCATCCTGCCACCTGTTGGCAGCTCAGCGGCTTCAGCTCGGGCCAGGACTCGAACCGCTGTTGCTCAGAGCTCAAACTCTTGAGCGAGCTCTTAACCAACTGAGCCACTCGGCCGGCCCTAGACTATGCTTATTTTTGAACATGCTGGTTTTATACTTTCATACAATGATTTGAAAGCCTAGTTCTAAGTATATTTTAATTTAGATTCTTATTTTTAATGGCTATTTCATCTTGAAAAAAAAAAAAACAACTGATAAAGATTAGAAAACTATCAGGAAACAAATGAGCCCCTGAGGCTGCACAGCCAAACACTGTGCAAGTCACCCCCCAGGAGCAGCCTTGCTGGCTTGCTACCACTGCTGGTGCTGCCATGATTCCTACCTTCTCACTTTCCTCTCCTTAAGTCACAGGCTCACAGTTCAAAGAATGAGTATCCAAATGACCTATCTTAGGTCACAGGCACACCTACTGGCTATATCAGGGACTGCATTCTTTCACAAACTGACTTTTTTTTTTTTAAAGTTCCAAATTGATCTCATTTTAAAGTTGGGGTTGTCCCATAATGATTTAATTTTTAAAACATCATGAAATATCATACATAAGAGTTTATATAATGTACACATTTAGCTAAATAGTAATAAAATGAACACCCATGTACCCACCATATGGTTTAAGAAACAGAGTATCAAGACCACTGAAGACTCCTATCATTTAGAATTTTATAATTAGCATCCCTTGTAGTTAAACAATTTCATGTGTGGTTGTTAGCTTTATGTGCTTGACATTCTACATTGATATACAGTATGAATTGCTTTAGCACTTTTTAAAATTTGGCCCAACATTGTATTTCTGAGATTCATCTACATTGATGCAGAGCTATAGTTCATAACATGCCATTTGCATACTTGTACTATAATTTTTAACCATTCTACTATTAATGAATATTTGAGTTACTTCTCTTTTTTTTTTTTTAAAGATTTTTATTGGGGAATTAGGGGGATGGGAACAGACAAGATGCTGTCGTTTTGTTCTTCAGTCTAGTTGTGGAGGACGTTGCTTCACTGGCCCAAGTTGGCACCATCATTGCGCTC